TTCTGTTTTTCCTGTTTTAATTGGCGTAAAAGATCAGAGGTAAAATAGGGTTGCAAATAACTTTATTAATGTAAAATCAATCATTTTATATCAAAATCTTTACAACCCTTATTTTGTTTCTGTTCTTTTACACATTGTAATAAAAGAAAGAAATGGAATCCATAGTTTCTTTAGTTTGGGGTTCACCTAATAAGTGAAGTTTTTCGAATCGTTTTGTAAGAATTTTGGATTATACACATTTATTAGTACCTATACGACAATATCTTATTATTTTCAGTTTCACACAACTAGCGTATATCAATTCGATATTGTTTTGGGGGCTGTTCTGTCATAATTCATAGAATTTCATATTTCTTTGCTAAAGGTACGATGAGTAGTGATTTGTCAGGTGCTGATATCAGAAGTCATTCATAGAATGTCTTTTTGGTCAATATGGGCAACTGTCATTCATTATTTTATATAAAGTTTGATGGGTGATACTAGCAAAATGTTTTACAGTAAAAATGTATTTTGCATTGTACAATTAGAAAATACATTTGGAAAAATATTTTAAATAAAATACAAAATGCTTTTCTCAAAAAAGTAATTAAATACAACACAAAAATAGCTACTTTTTATTTTGTATTTGCATTTTAAATGCAAGTATTTCAAATAAGTCACATCTCTGGTATAGGTTTACCAATAAATATTAAAACAAATGCCTACTTGTTTCGGACTATAATTAGTAAGGTTTTGTTAGAAATAAATGACAAACTAACTGTGTAGGCAAACTCTTGATGTTTCAAAACACAAGGTTGAATTTGCAAATGTAACAGTTTGCGTTACTATATTCGAGGAAAAACATTGAATTGGGTCAACAAGAATTTAGTACCTATAAAATTGCACAAACTATAATATTTCAATCGAGTATCGACTTTTTCTATTTATTCAAAGTAGTTGATACATACCCGCATAGTATTCATTGAACACTACAAGGAATTCAATTACGATTTTCTATTAGAAGGCGTTCACGACGACGCTGTTTGCACTTATTGAGAACCAAATAAATTAGCAAATGTACCATTAATTAACCATTAACCGTTGCTTTGACGGTTACTGGCGATGTCCGGGTCAAAAAAGGGACGCAGTACAAAATGCAGTATTTTGTTTCTTTTTCGTTTAATGAATATTTTGAAAGCAAAATGACAGAATTGAAAATTAAGCCTGGAGTTTCTAAATAATCACGAATATTTTGCAAAGTATTGGAAACCTCATTATAATTTTAAAGTGTTTCATACTTTTTTTAACAACGTTGTAAAAATTGCCATCATTTAAAACAGAACAGTCACTGATATTAATTAAAAAGACCTTTAGGAACCCATAACATACGCGGCATGTCTTTCCTGACAGTTCATATATGTTTAATTCTAACATACTTTGTCGAAAAAAATATGTTTAATTTTTGTTGAAATTCTAATAATTAGAAACGCTGTAGAATGTTAAGGAGAGGATCTCGTGGTAATTTTAATAAATTTGTTCCTATCTATGACCGTTAAGGTCATAAAAATCAACTGATTTAAATTTCGAAAACTACCCTGTTTTTTCTATATCACTGGATTCCATTTGAAGAACTGAAGTTGATCTTAAGATTAATATGCCCTCGTTATAATCATACCTTGCAAATACTTAAAGATGTCAAGTAAACATGTACCTCTTATCCAGCTAAAAATATTAGTAATCAATAGGTATCTACCTAATGGTCAATTAACGGGAAATTTCTTAATTTATTTGGTAATCAATAAGTACAAACAGCGACGTTGTTAAGGAGGGAAAGAGCGAATGTAGAGATAGGAGACGAAAGATTAGAAGAAGTGGTTGATTTTAGTTATCTAGGAAGTCAGATAAGTCAGGACGGAAGAAGTAGTAGGGATACAAAGCGGAGGATGGTGCTTGGTCGAGTCGTCTATAATAAAAAGAAATTACGTGTATGCTCACGATTAATTTAGAAATTCGAAAAAGATTGTTAAAGGTGTATGTTTGGAGCGTGGCGCTGTACGGGTGCGAAACATGGGCGGTGGGCGCGGCGGAAAATAAAAGGTTAGATGCGTTTGAAATGTAGTGTTACAGACGAATGATGATACTGTGGATAGAGAAGAATAGAAGTAAAGAGCTATTAGAATGAATAGGAGAACAGGGGAATCTATGGAAGTCAATAAGAAATAAGCAAGATAGGTTTATAGAACACCTTCTCATGAAGGTCTAGTCGGAGACATATTAGATGCAGAAGCAGCAGTTAAAAGGAACAGAGGTAGACCTAGGTTAGATTACTGTTCGCAAATAATATAATTAAGGATGTGGGTTGTTCTAGTTTTAGGGAACTGCGATGATTAGCTAGGAGAGGAAAGAGTGGAGGTGCGTGTCCAACCAGTCGTAAGACTGACGACCTTATGATGAAGATGATGAGGTATCTGCCTAAATGAGTTTGGGATTTAAAAAAAAATGGGTTTTCGGAAATTTAGAAACAGTCCTGAACAGAAATTAAGATTACGTTAATATTGCCGAATGAGCAACCTGTCAAAGCAACGAATCGGTGGTGCTCATACATCCCCTAAAAGAATTAAGGGATGTCAAGTTATTTTACGTAGTTTGGTGTAAAATGATATGTATTACTATTTCATGTTTTCTGAACGAACTTCGGCTACATATGTATAATGAATTTTGTCTTTTGTTTAGTTCATCCATCAAAATTCAATATTTTTATAAATATTGTGTCCATGATGTTTTTACGTATAATATGTTGGTATTTTTTCAAAGAAAATTTGTTGTAAAAAGACATTCCTATTTAGGGGCCGTTTTCAGTATTTTTGATACTAAGTATTAGTAACCAGGATTTGTTATACCAAATCCGCCCGATAACATTCTGTTTTTTTTTCCGGGATTTGCAAACCTTGGAACTCATTGATTTTTATTAAAATAACTGATGTGAGATTCGAAAAAACGACCCGTGTATTCTTTACCTACCGAATCGGTTAATTGTATGTACGTACATCGAAATAGCTGTATTGTATCCTTTTGAAACATTCATGCGTTTAAGGAAGGCAAAGCGAGCGAGGATCGAAAGGTAACCGGGCCAGTGGCACGTCCAGTTAGCGTGACGTGAATTTCATTTTATTTACTGCCAACATTATTTTACACGGTTCACGATTAAATAATATGTATTTAGAAAAGCGACTGTCACATTGATTTTTAAAAAATACCACTAATTAATAAAACAAATAATTACAACAGAACGGACATGTCAAAAAAATATATTTTAGCTACAACGAATTGGATTTTGACATTAATTAGCAGGCAATGAGTAGCCATTAATACATTTAAACAATAAGAAAGCGTCTTAAAACTAGAGAATAGTTAAATTGAAAAAAATAAACGTGTAGATATGATTGAACAAATAATTAATTTTTGGATGGGGCTAGTCACCGGCACCGTACCGGCGAGTAAAAAGCTATTCACCGGTACTGAACCGGTTACTAAGAAACAATTCACTGGTACCCAAACATTGTATCATCATTATAAGGTCGTCAGTCCTAAGACTGATTGAACACTCGCATCCACTCTTTCCTATCCTGAGCTAATCTTCGTATTTCCCTAAAACCAGAACAACCCACATCCTTAACTATTTGCGAACAGTAATCTAATCTAGGTCTACCTCTACTCCTCGTAATTGCTGTCTCTGTCTGTAATATGTCTTTGACTAAACCTTCATGCCTGAGAAGGTTTCCTACCAACCTAGGTATCTCGCCTATTTCTTATAGACTTCCGTAGTCCTCTGTTCACCTATTCTTTCTAATACCTCTTCACTTCTAACCTTCTCTATCCACGGTATCTTCATCATTACCTTGCAACACCACATTTCAAGCGCCTCGCTCCAAACATACACCTTTAACAACCTTTTTCGAATTTCTAAATTAATCGTTCACGAGCATAGAAGTGATTTCTTTTTATTGAAGGCGACTCGACCCTGCGCTATCCTCAGTTTTATATCCCTACAAAAAATCCTCTAATCTTCACATTTCCCTAAAACTAGAACATTCCACATCCTTAACTATTTGCGAACAGTAATCTAATCTACGTCCACCTCTTAACTGCTGTCTGCCTGTAATATGTATTTGACTAAACCTTCATGCCTGAGAAGGTGTTCTATTAACCTATCTCGCCTATTTCTTATTGACTTCCATAGAGTCCTCTATTTTCCTATTCTTTCAAGTATTTCTTCATTTTTAACCTTTAGCCACGGTATCCTCATCATTCGTCTGTAACACCACATTTTGAACGCTTCTAATCTTTTCTTTTCCGTAGCACCCACTGTCCATGTTTCGCACCCATACATCGCCGCGCTCCAAACATACACCTTTAACAACCTTCTTCGAATTTCTAAATTAACCGTTCGCGAGCATAGAAATGACTTCTTTTTATTGAAGGCGACTCGACCCTGCGCTATCCTCTGCTTTATAACCCTACTACTCCTTCCGTCTTAACTTATCTGCCTTCCTAGATACCTAAAATCGGCCACTTCTTCTAATTTTTCGTCTCTTATCTTTATATTCGCTCTTTCCCTACTTTTTCTTCCCTTGCGTACCAGTCTTTTTTGCTTCACTTTTATTCATTCCATTTTATTTAAAGCTATTTCCGCGTAACAAACATATAAAAAAACAAACATATAGTCGAATTGAGAACCTCCTTTTTTGAATTTTTCGGTTAAAAACAATGGACGGGCCGCATGAGGTTTCACACCCCCGGTCTAGTAGATAGCAGATTACTATATAAGAATAAAAAAGGAAACAACTGTAGCAATAACACGATACTGAGCCTATATATCACAAAACTGAACAGAGAATACGTAACCAACTGTTGCATTTTGGTACTTTATTTTATTTTGTTGGTAGAATTTCGATCACATGCAAACTAATTCCAATAAATGTGCATTTCTATCAAAAGGTAATTATATATTAACTACTTACGTTATTGATAATCAATCCACAATAATCAGGCGATCCCTGGGCGGCAAGAAGATTGATATCCAACGTCACCAGCTCACCACCGTCCCCATTGGTCATGCAGGCTGGCGTTCGGTAATCCCTGGCGTGTATGGCTCCGTAAAAGGAATTGTTGAATCTCACTCGTATGTTCATATGTCCGGCCTTACACGTGGCCGATACTTGCGGGGCGAAATCTGTGTCTACAAGTTGACTTGCCACCTGCAATGAATTATTAATGTTAACAATCAACAATGGAAGGAAAATTAATAATCGTATTGTATTATTTAAAAAGAAGCGTGAGTCATAAGATCGTTTTAAGGACGTTGGCATTGACGGTTGCTTATTAGATGGTGTAGTGAATATTACCCTTCAAGTGCAACGTTAAGGATGTTTGGGAGGTACAATCGGAGACAAGAGTACATAAAATTAGAAATTCGTAATTAATTAGGTTTTGCAGCATATCATGAGGTAAATAAATACATACTAAAAAAAAAGTACACGGTTTGAGAGAAAATTTGGAATTTGACCAAAAACTTTGAATAAAATAAGAAATAACGAATAATATGGAAAATTTTTAACTACCTTTTGGCAGTGAATATGCCTTGCTAAATAAAAAAATATTTAGTTTCAATCTCTATTAATAATGAGCGTAAAACTTTTTTAAGTTAAAAGTTTTTTTTTTACCCATACATCCGGGTACATCTCTAGTCTATACGAACCAATACTAGAAGTTGTGGCTTTCAATTTTGGCGGATGCTTTCCCATAAACTTTCGACAATGGAATCGTCTAATGCGAAAAAAGGAAATCTCTCTAAAAGTTTTCGTAGTAATCTCAAAGGGCCACCCCGAAAAGCCAATTTGTATTTCAAAGGTTTTTCTTATTCTTTAAAATGGTTACATGATATCCTCTGGGTTTGGATGACCCTTCACTTATTACCATCTAAATAATTAAGGTTGACTATCGGAAATCTGTTTGGTGTGGTTTTTGAAAGTGAAAATTTACAATTATTAGACACTTTGAGCAAAACTTGGAAAAGCCAATTGTTCATCTAACTCAAAAAAAGGATCAGGTTTTAACTAATATAAAATAGAATCACTTGGTGTTAATTAAACACCATGTAAACAGGATAGGTATAGTGCCATTATGAATCTAAGATCTTTTCGAAAATTAGCACAGTGTAATGCATCCTATGAACACACTCTAGTCAATTTTTTTTTTCATGTTAGATGTCAATTAAAATGGTTTGCTGTAATAAAAACGAAAGATTTTAAATAGGTATCATACTTAAGATGTTTTAAAGAAATATGCAGAAATAGACCATTTCCCATTGAAAATTTTCGTTTAGGTGCTAGCTGGGGAAAACAGTAAAATATGTTTACTAAATAAAAGTGTTAATCGAGTACAAACAAGGTATGAGGAAGTGTCATATTTGCTCACGCGTTTTGGCTAATAATTATGAAGCGAAAGCAGAAATTCTAGAATAGGTAAACAAATTCTACAGGTGTGTGTGTATATTACATATTTAAATAACACGAACACATCCTGTGACAGGGAAACCTGCACAATTGCAAACAATAAATCTATGAAACATTTTTGTGTAATTTTTTATAACTGAATACACATTTAAAAGAATACGTTGAAAAACTATTGAATTTTTTGAAAATGTTAAGCAATTTTTAAGACAAAATTACAAAATAAATAATATTCTTCAGCTCTTTCTAATACCACATCATTTCCAATCTTTTCCACCAAAAATATATATTTGTTTATAAAAGACTTATAGACAAACAGCAAATAATCATTGTCTATCGCTGCAGCTGAATTTTCGGAATAAAATGAATGGAAATTCGAATTAAGGAGACAACACCGCACTCGAATTTCCAGTTACACTAATGGACAAATTCGAGGTAAATAGTTTGAAATATGTCAATGGTACAAAAAATTATTCGAGTTAAAAAAGAGTTATAGAAGTTTTTGTGTATTACTATTGAGAGATACATATAAGGATCTGAGAGTGGTGATGTACAGGTCTGACGAAGGAAGCTGGCGAGCGATCGCGCAGGTACTTGCCAAATTTATGACCTATTGGGATACACAAATAAGCTTTCAGTAGGCGTAAATTATAATATTAATACAGATAGGACAGTAGCGTACTAGAAAATAATGTAAAAACATGACTTATCAAAAAGAAAAAATAAACCTATTGCTTTTGTTTTATAGTTAGTTATCACATTCACTCTCATCATGGGAATCTCTATCACTGTCACCAACATCAACAATTAGTTCTTCTATTTGTATGTCTATTACTTGCTCACTGATCCCGATTTTTAAATATTTAATCTACGCCCCTGATGGGAATACTTAAGAAAGAGGGCTGCAATTGTTACACCCAAAACTGCCTACTTTTGCCACCGCGCATCCACGCCATTTTAAAATTTCCGCCAGCTTCCAGCGTCAGGCCTGTAGGTAAATTTTATGATTAACTTTTTATACGCTTTTTAGAAGACGTAACCATCCTCTTAATAATTCATCAATTTCTACAATAAAACATAAGCACAGCAAAGTAAAATACGTTTTCTTTGTCTATTTTTTTTAAATAATTTTAATACCGATTACTAGCGAAACAAACGATTTCCATTAGATACCTACATAAAATTAATGAATGATGAGCAATTTTCATTGGTCTAATTTTTATTACCCAAAATAAAAAATAACAACTCAATTAAGTACTTTAAGACAGACAAGTATACGGAAGTGCCAAAGCCGTAATTTATTAACAATTAAAAATATTGTTAATTGCGCTACCAGCGCATGTAGGTGCATACATGTTACTGTACAATTATCTTAACGAATTGTTACTGTCAAATGAAGTTAATATGAATTTTGCACGTGTTTCCATGCTAGCAATGTGAAAGGTTAACGAACCATAATAATAACCCTGTTGTAACAATTTTAACGAACTCTGTGTATCATCTATTTATTTACCTGCTATACACATACACATTATAAGATATATATATATTATATGTACCTGTATAATATATACAGCGTAGCATGACAACAAAACTAACAATTATCCTATTGATATGTTAAATAAAAAGTCCCATTTACCTTATTATTCTTTTACAATGTTTTCATGTGCAACTAAATTGAAAACATAAATACTCGTATCTATTAGTATTGATAAAAACAATAATCGAGAAAAACGAAGCCTGTGATATATGTACATATTTATTGTCAATTGTTTAACACAAAAAATATTAAAGGTAATTCAGAATTTCATGGGGCGTGACCTTGGGTTTTGCAGCGACAAAACTTTGCATATTCGTTGATTTCTACATTTGCTTAGTTTACAGATTATCTGGAGCTGTTTGTGGTTGTAAAGCTAGATAGATGGTTAACAGTCTAAACAACATTTATAAAATGTACAATATGAATGCAATAATGTCAATCCCTCGTGCATCTCGCGTTCCATGAGATACTGCAATACCTGTAACGTGGTTTACCATGAACGAACTTAAGTGCAGATATCAGATGCAATTTTTAACTTTGAACTTAACTCTAAAAAAAGTTTTAGGACGGAAATGACTTGAAAACATTTGAGAGATCCAAAACTATAATACTAATAATCAAAAACTCCCGAAAAGATGTAGGGACCTGCAGGAGCTATTGTGCCTTGAAAACACGACCCTAACAAGGGAAAAATTTTCATAGTTCGTCCAGTATACAATTCAATTCTGGATTTCTTCAATTGAAAGAAAATATGTAACATTAATCAAAAGTTTAATAGAATAAATTCGAAGTGGTCTGTATTCTCTCAAAACTGCCAGACGCGGATCGCGATTTCGATATTTTTGGATCTCATCAGCGCTTTTCAACAAGTAGATATCCATATATTTAAATGGATCTTGTTGGAGCATACGTAATCCTAAAATGTAACATCGTACTAGAGATGGCGTTTACCGCGCCATTTGTAGTATTTTCCAAAAGTTTAATACTTTGATATTAAATATTTATTTCGAACAATAAAATTTTATTAATTAATCTGAAGCAAACAATGATGCTTGAAGCATTCATCTTCAAACGCTTAAATAAATTACCTTTTATTGCATAATACAATGTTGATTAATGCTCGTCAAATGTCAATATTAATTTCATTATCTCGCTATTGACGAAAACTGCTTCCATGAAATCACCTCCAAGAAAAAAATTGATCATTGGATTTTCTACGATGCTAATGGTCATAATTACATGTGCTGTTCACTAATAATAACCACAGAGCATCTATCAGTCATACTAATCCTTATTGTTAAAAGTCAAACGTAAAAATGTAATTAGAATAAAGTGATTTAATTTTTTTTCTCATGAATATTAAGTTCGTTTATTTAATTATTAGCCTCTCTAAACTAAAAAAAGACTCGATGATGTATGCTCATCAAATCAATGAGAACCCTATTCCAATAATGTAAAGTTATAAAAAGTTTTTACCTTAATATTTTTAATCGAAAAGCATAAAAAACCATTAATTTTTTTGACTACTGATTGTGAATTTGCAAAATGAAAACCCTATTCCTATGATGAAAAGTTACAAAAAGTTTTTCCTTTACAATTTTCAATCGGAAAGCATAAAAAAACATTAAATTTTTTACTACTGATTTTGTATTTGGAAAATGAGAACCCTATTCCTATGATGCAGTTAGAAAAAGTTTTTACCTTACAATTTTCAATCGAAAAGCATAAATAAATGTTTTGACTACTGATTTTCGATTTGCAAAATGAGAACTCTATTCCTATGGCGAAAAGTTAGAAAAAGGTTTTACCATACAATTTTCAATCGAAAAACATAAAAAATATTACATTTTTTGACTATTGATTTTGAATTTGCAAAATAAGAACCCTATTCCTATGATGAAAAGTTATAAAAAGTTTTTACCTTACAATTTTCAATTGGAAAACATAAAAAACATTAAATCTTTTGACTACTGATTTTGAATTTGCATAATGCCTTATTAGAAAAGTCGTTAAAATTCATAATACTTAATTCACTTTCGATATTACTTTTCTTGCATAATCAATAAATAAGTAAACAGCTGTTGATCGAATAAGTAGATCGAAGAAGTAGATTACTGTATAGTCGACTTTTGAAAAAATCTGCTGTAGGCTATTGAACAACTTTCAACGATTATGCTTTGTAACAGCGTTTAATTATCAATTAGTT